AGGCTTTATCATGAGGTTGTAGCAGTTCAGTCACATCACCTGCGGGCTCCACTTCTGATTCTAGTTTTCTTGCTGTTTCTGTTCACATCTGCAGTTATTTCCTTCACTGGTGTTGGACCCCCTCAAAGTCATCACGAGGGTTGGAATCAACTTTATTCAAACTCCTATTAATGTTGGTATTTTTACCTCTTCCCATGAATCATAAGCTACAGCCATAACATTCACGATAACGGGTGAATGTTCTTAATAGCATCTACAATGGTGAAACCTTTCTGGAAGGTTTTCAGTGTTCCTTGCCCAGCTCCATCTGAGGAATCACCGTATGTGGTAGCCAGAGCCGTATGAAATGTACTTCTTAAATAATAAGGCTTGAAAGTCAAACTCACTCCTTGATCCATGGGCTACAGAATGCATATTTGGTTGGCAGGCATGAAAACAACATTAATCTCATTGTCCATCTCCGTCCGAGCTCTTGGGGGACCAGGCTCATTGTCAGGGAGTACTAATATTTTGAAAGGAACCTTTCTTCTGAGCAGTGGGTTTCAACAGTGGGCTTAAAATATTTCAGTGAACCATGTTGTAAACAAATGTGCTGTCATCCAGGCTTTGTTGTTCCATTCATAGCTGTCAGGTGGAGTAGATTTAGCATGATTCTTAAGGGCCTTCGGGTTTTCATAATGGTCAGCAAACATTGGCTTCAACTTAAAGTCATCAGGTGTATTAGCCCTTAAAAAGAGATTGAGCCTGCCCTTTGAAGCTTTGAAGCCAGGCCTTGACTTCTCCTCTCTAGCTATGAAAGTCCTAGATGGTATGTTTTTCCAACAGAAGGCTGTTTTGTTTTCACTGAAAATCTGTTGTTAATGAACTTAGCTAAATCTTCTCAGTAACTTTGTTGCAGCCTCTGCATCAGCTCTTGCTGCTTCCCCTCACACCTCTGTATTGTGGAGACCACTGCTTCCATTAAACCTCATGAATCAACCTCTGCTACCTTCAAATTTTTTTTCTGCAACTTCCTCACCTCTCTCAGCCTTCACAGAACTGAAGAGAGTTAGGCCCTTGCTCTGGGTTAGACTTCAGTTTAAGGGAATGTTATGGCTTGTTTGACCTTTTCCATCCGGACCACTAGAACTCTCTCCATATCAGCAATAGGCTGTTTCTCTTTATAATCATTTGTTTGCTCACTGGAATAGTACTTATAATTTCCTTCAAGAACTTATTCTTAGCATTTGCAACTTGGCTAACTCTGCAAAGGGCCTAGCTTTGTCCTGTGTAGGCTTTCAAAGTGCCTTCCTCATTAAGCTTAATCATTTCCAGCTTTCGGTTTAAAGTAGGAGTCACTTCCTTTCACTTGAACACTTAGTGGCCATTGTAGGATTATTAAATGGCCTGATTTTAATGTTGTTGTGTCTCAGGGAATAGGGAGGCCTGAGGAGCTGGGGAGAGACTAGGAGCGTCTGGTTGCTGGGACAGAACACACAGAACGTCTATCGATTAAATTCACCGAACATCTTATTTGGGCACTGTTCATGGCACCCCAAAACAATTACAATACAGATCAACATAACAAATAAACTAATAATGGAAAAGTTTGAGATATTGCAACATTACCAATATGTGAAACTGAGACACAATGAGCAAATGCTGTTGGAAAAATGGCACCAACGAACTTGCTAAATGCATGGATGCCACAAACTTTCAATCTGTAAAAAAATGCAGTGTCTGCAAAGTGTATAAGTGAAGCTTTGTAAAAAGAGGTGTGCCTGTAGAGGAATTTAATTGATAGTGGCTTGTAGGACTAATAGGAGAAAAGAGCAGTATAGCTGTGGATGATAAAATAGAAAGGAAGATGTACAAATTCCTATTTTTGTCTTCCCTCAATTTGTTGTGTGTATGTGAGAAGAATGAACGGAGAGTGTATATCAGATTGTCTTTGATTTGTACAGTACTGAGAGTCCCATGTGGGACACAGTCAGCTGTCTACAAAGCCAGTGCTCAAAGCTGACAAGGCCATTTGAAAGAAATACACAATAAAATGCGCCTTGGTGGTTGAGAATTCCTAAACATTGGAACCACTGTGAAGTACCTGATTTAATAAATAAGTGAAATAGAATCCATACTTCTTTGTAAAAGGAAACAACTATTTGCACATCTGACTTACTGGTCCTGTTTGGGTTTTTTTTGTTTTGTTTTTATATTTTTACTTCTTAGCTGTTTGCAGTAGGGACTACAAGTCTGCAGGACAGATGACAACAGTTTACCCCTCACTGCAGACTTAGGGCAGTTCTGACCGAGTCCCAAGGGTGAAAGTCAAGGCCAGGACTAGGGAATTCATCTCTACCTTGGTGACTCTTGGACTAAAGGATACTGATGAGGCCCTTTGGAACGTTTCTTGGCCCAACCTTAAGTTGGAGGTGTCTTGCTCTATGAAGGCAAACTCAAACTTGGTCTTCAGCTGACCTCGCCACTGCAAAGGGTTTTGGACTAGGATTGGACAGGGACATGTGGCATCCTGTAGCCCAGTGCCGCCCAATAGAAATAGAATGTGGCTGCATATGCAATTGCAGATTTTCTAGTAGCCACATTTTTAAAAAGTAAAAGAAACAGCTGAAATTAAATTTAAATAATGTATCTTATTTAACCCATTTGAATCTTAAATACAGTGATCGTAAGTACAGTATATAATCAATATAAAAATTAATTGAGAGGTTTTACATTCTTTTTCTCATACTTAGTTTTCAAAATCCAGTGTGTACTTTACACTTATAGCACATCTCAGTTTGGACTGGACACTTTTCAAGTGCTCAATAGACACAAAGAGCAATACTTTTTAGAAAAATAGACTATTTTTTAAAGTCTGTTTTAGGTTCAAGAAAAATTGAGTGGCAAGTACAGAGTTCCCATATTTTCCCTGTCCCACACAGGCAAACATCCCCCACCAGAATGGTACATTTGTTAAGAATCAATGAATCTACATTGGTGCATAACTATCTCACAAAGTCTGTAGTTGGTGTTAGGGTTCACTCTTGGTGTTATACATTCTATAGGTTTTGACAAATGTATAATAATATATTCACCATTACTGTGTCATATAGAATAGTTTGACAGCCCTAAAAATTCTCTGTGGTTCATCCCTCCCTCCTTCCCCTCTAATCGCTGCAACCACTGAATCCTCTTACTGTCTCCATACTTTTCCCTTTCCAGAATGTTGGAAAGTTTTCCAGGTGGAATCAGACTTTTCAAAGTGGCTTCTTTCACTTAGGAATGTGTATTTAAGTTTCCTCCATGACTGTTCATGACTTGATAGCTCATATCTTTTTAGCACTGAATGATATTCCATTGTCTGGATGTACCGTAGTTTATAGAGGAAGACTTTTTACAACCAGAATTATACCCTAGTAGTGGGACTTCTGGTGGTGGTGTGGGGAGGGGGTGGTCTGGGTGTTGTGGGAATCGGAGGAATTGGGAAAGCTGTCTTTTTGCTGTGCTTAAAAAGTTTCTGTGAGTATCACGAGGAGAAAAGGAATGGAGTAGGCAACAGACTTACGGACTCCAAGAAGGGACTAGCGGTTACCAGAGGGGAGGGGTGGGGGAGGGTGGGTGGGGAGGGAGGGAGAAGGGGATTCAGGGGTATCATGATTGGTGCACATGATGGGGGGGATCAGTGTGGCACAGAGAAGGCAAATGGCGACTCTGTGGCATCTTACTACACCGATGGGCAGTGACTGCAGTGGGGTTTGGGGGGAGGACACGATAACGGGTGAATGTAGTAACCACATTGTTTTTTCATGTGAAACCTTCATAAGAGTGTATATCAATAATACCTTAAATAATAACTAAATAAATGAATGAATGAATGTTGTAGGAGAGCATAGGGATGAAAAGCTTGAAGAAATAGATCTATAACCACAAATAAAGGCAAATCCTCTCTCTTCTCTTATATTCCACTTTCTCCACCTCACACAGAGCTTGGAATCTGCTTAGTCCAAAGCCTTCTGATAATTTAGCAAATTTCTGAATCAAAATTCCTTCCAAACCAGTGTTATGAACATGTTTAGACTAAACAAATTGTCAGGAGAGAAAACAGAAAGCTGGATTTGCATGTGCATGATTTCCTTGATCAAAGAATATTGAGGAAAAAGAGACCAAAGAAGGAGATGCTGTCATTCAAATGTTGTTCCCACTCTTTGGAGAGGCAGCTCTACTCTATTTTCTTCATTTTTGGGATGCTGCTGCTGAAAGACCTCTTTTCCCTGTTTTATGCCCATTGGCAAGGGTTGGTGTATCAATTCCGAGAACTGTGATCGCAAGGCTGGAAGGACAATTGATGAGGCTGTAGTGTCACAGCCAGATCAGTTATATTAACTGGGGGATGATGTCATTTCAGCCATTTTGAATCTTAAATACGGTGATCAGTCTTTTAGGGAATGAGTCAATGTCAGAAAATCTGTCCATCTTCCTCATTAAGAGCTTAATGTCTTCTAGGCATGGGTGAGTAGAAAAAATAATTATGGATAGTAATAACGGGGTCCATTTAGGAACGGGCCAGCATGAAAATGCTGTTGATTTCAGTTCACACGCATGGTTTTCAGGCCCTTTTCAATATGTTAAATTACTGGTGAGAAGCACAGAAGTAGTGGCTGGTTTGACAAGCTTTCCCTCTTTAGGAGAGGCAGGAGACTCAGTTTTAGTCTGTTTGGACAAGTTGCAGTAGCCTTGGGCAGCATTTTGTTTTCATATTCACAAGTCAAACTCACCAGATTCTACTTCATCAAGAGAAAGACCGGCTAGTTCCACAGTCCACCACAAACCTAGGGCAAACCGTCTCCTAGCTTTAATTTTCCTAATCATAAGATGAGAATTGCATCTAATTGCAAAAATTACTCTAATTCAGATGAAATGGTCCAAGAAGTATAGAGATTAGTATAATGAATCACTGTGCTTCAGGGGAAAAGGAAAACCTCTTCATAAAGACTCTTTTTGTTGTACTTTTTTTTTTCCAGCTCCTTTCAAAATGTCTACTGTTCATGAAATTCTGTGCAAGCTCAGCTTGGAGGGTGATGTAAGTATATCTTTTTCACTTGGTGTATTTTGGCAAATTGGAACTCTAGATGACTCTGCTGCTCCCTTTCCTTGTACATCTAAGGAAAATGAACATAAAATCTAGACAATAATTGATCCTGTTGGTTCCTTTCCACCCCAGTGCTGTAGGTGTTCGTAGTAGTTCAGTTTGAAAGAAATGTTACAGCATTAGAGACTTCTTTGGCATCACCTTAAAGTTGGACAGACACTGGTGACATTGGGGTGACTGGAATTTTATCCTGCTATATACTTAGCATGTCAGTGGTGGTAAACATTATGATGATCCCTGACTTGTTAATGTCACACCCTGGGACTTTATTAATGGTTGACATAAGCTACAGCCATATCAAAAATGATCCTGTGTGTTTTGGACTTCCTACAGTGTCCAGGAAGTTACTCCAGATGCTTAGACTTTTTAAACAAATTTAACACCTGGGAAAGCTTTTCTCCAAAAGAGCTAGGATTTCTTTTTTAACTAAATAATGAGAGTATTATAATTCATCATGCTTCTTTTTTTTTGCTTTGGCTGTCAGGGAGCTCAGAGTTCTATTTGTCTTTTAGCAGAAATACGTGAACCTGGCAATTCTGACGCATTTGTATCTTTGTGTTATGGTTAAAGAAATTAAACTGTATGTGAAATTATAAGTCATTGCAAATACTTTTTGAATCAAATAGAATATAAATTATGAATGTGTGAAATATATAATAATACTATACATCTTCAGGTATCTTGGCAGAAATGGGTTGTACAAAAACACTTCAGTGACACCAGTTTATAGGGATATCTTGGAGATATTTCAGAATATGCTATTATGGAAATTAAAATACAAAGAAGCACTCAAAAGCAGGCTGACAGCAGCTTGGGTCACGTGGTACAGAACTCTGTCGTCTCCAGTGCTTGCTACCAAAACATTCAGCAGGATGTTGTCTGTGCCAGCACAGGCAGTGTGGAGTAATAAGTAGTAAGCCTGTGCGTGGTTTTAATCTTTCTTCCTGAAACTTGTACATGCTGAGGTCCAGACAAGTCCAAGAGCTAAGTAACGTTTTTCTTTAATGGGTCTGATACTTAGATTGTTTCTACTATCAGGTTTTATGAGAGAGCTTTTTATGTAGCCTTTGACGTTACTCTACTAATATGATGGAGAGATGGTACTAGAATTACCTGTCATGTATTCCCCAGTATTTTGAGAGAAGAAAAAAAAAATCACTTTGCCTCAAAAATTTGATTTTTAAGTAGATTTCATAGGTAATAAGTTCAATTATCCATTTAATTTTGTTTCCAGAGTACTGTGCAATTCTGCAAAATTTTTCCCTATTTGTTATTTTTGGAATAAGATGACATAGCACCTGGTAAAGGAAACCATGTGTCATATGACTCAGTGACCAGACTGCCAACCTTTGTAAATAATTGATGGCATTGTTAATAAATAGGAAAATGTGTTTTTCCTTAGATTTCCTTCCACATTTTGGGGCCACCATAGTAAATACAGTGTTTCAAAATAGCACTTTGTTTTTATCTTCTCCTGAATATGTGATCCTTTCCCACTGAGTTCATCTTACTTGAAAGGTTAAGTAATAAAATTATATGGAAAATACCTTGATAATCCAATGTGTTTCAGAGTTAGCAACTGAATGTACTCTTTGGCCAAGATGGTCCCAAGTACATTTTGAAACACGTTGCCTACGGACTTAGATTTCTGTTCTGTCCTGGGAGACATTTGAAAGGGTGGCATCTTAGGTACTTAGCTGTACAGCCTCACTGCTGATAAAACCAAAAGGTGTGGGTGCTGGAGCGCCTCACAGCATGATGCCTGTGGGTGGAGAGGAGAGCCGTGGCACCGCAGTCTCTGACTTCCCAGAGACTGAGCCAAAGCAAAGTCACCCTGTTACGATGGGCATTATGTACTTGGGGTTAGGCAGTGGGGTGGGGGGGAGCCTTGACGTTGGAGGTGGGGCAGCTGTGGGCGGTGGTCTTGGCCATCAGTGGACACAGACCACTTTGTCCATCCTCTTTTGTCTGACCTTTGTTTTGGGGCTGGGTAGCAGGGAGGAGGAAAGCTGCAAGAGCATTTCAAAGAAGGAGAGAAGTTAATGCTTTGGAGAGGAAAACTGATGTAGAAGCACTGTTGTCCTTACCTCAGTCTGGGGTGGGGTGGGGCTGGGTGGGATGGGGGTGGGTCCCTGAGACCAGGAAGCCGAATGCTTTGAAAAGCTTTGGAGAGGGAAGAGGGTATGAAATGTACTTGGAAGAGTGGTAGGCAGGGGATAGTGTTAAAGACAGCAGAGGGGAGGCTACAGAGAGAGAGAGAGAAGCAGGAATTTGGCCCATGCAAAGAGGAAGCGGGCCACGTGGGCTGGCCACCTTGGTGCTACTGGGGTGGCCAAAGTAGATGGTGGAGGAGGAAGGCCTCCTGCACTCATCTGATAGAGGCAGGCAAGCATTTCACATCTGCCTTTTAAAGAATTGTGAGCACAGAGGTACAGGCTTATCGGAAATTCGTGTGCCTACAGCAACAGCTTGGCTAAGTACACTTGTCTTCAGGCTTTTCCACATTTTCAGCTTATTTCAGATTGCCCCCAGCTCAGTTTAATGCTCTTAAAATCCTTCTCAAATAAACAGGTGGTTTTAAGTGCCCAGCTTTGTGTTGTCTGCTTTTGAGCTTGCACTAATATAAGTGGAAGTACAGAGAGCATATTCTACAGTAGCTGAGTCTTTGAAGAATACTGGTAAGAAACAATGAAATCTATTATCCTAAGTGTGATGGCACATTAATATTTATCTAAATACCTAGTCCATGATTTGAATTGTTAAAATGTAAAAACAAAACAAAACAAAACGAACAAAGCAGCAGTAGACTCATAGACGCTGTGTGACCAGTGGTTACCCTGGGGGAGGAAAAGGTAGCGGGGCAAGGAGGCCCAAGAATCTCAATCATAAGTTGATGATGGGGATGGAGGTGCCGCATGGAGAATACAGTCAATGGTACTGTAACTGTTGACAGATAGTCACTGCAGTAGTTGGGGTGAGGACTTACTAATGGGATAACTGTTGCATCACTGTGTTACATATTTGAAGCCAGTACAATACTGTACATCAACTATACTTCAATTAAAAAATACACTTAAGAATAAATAAATGAAGAAGAAACAATGGGTGAAAAATCTACTTTAGGAATTGATATTTCACAAGAGGATTTTAAATGTGTGTGATTTGTGTTTTAACTTAGCACTCTACACCCCCAAGTGCGTACGGGTCAGTCAAAGCGTACACCAACTTTGACGCTGAGCGGGATGCTTTGAACATTGAAACAGCCATCAAGACGAAAGGTAGGTGAGGCATCTGTCCTCTTTTCAGGCTGTGACCAAGGCATGTTTAATTATATCCATTGCCCATCAAATCTCCATACACTGGTCATTGGAAATTGTCGTTGAGTTTCAACAAGTGGAACTAAATCTGCCCCACACCTGCTTCCCTCCTTTCTTTGGAGAGAAGATTTAAAACAAAGTATTTTTACCAGTCAACACAATAAGGCCCATGCTAAGAGTCAGAAGGCCTGACACCCCTGGGCATGTGCTTTGGGCTCAGCTCTTCATTTTAAGGCCTCTTCTCTAAGGAAGAGGTTGGTCATGATAATCCCTAAGGGCCTTTTTTGTCCAGAATCCCCTTGAATTCCATTAGCTTTGTTGGAAAAATGCTGGGAAAATTTTACTGTTTTGTTCTTAGATTGATCTAATGAGCAAAAAATTCAGACTCAAAAAAAACCCACAAGAAGTCTACAAGTTAAACCAGTTCTTAGGCTTGGACCTCAAAACAGAAGAGCTGATTGCCTCAAGTTCCAGGACCTGGAGCATAGAAACCTCCCTTCAGAAATCAAGCATAAGGCATTTCATTGGGTAGAGTTGTGCAAGAACTGTTTATAATTGCCAAAGTAATTGTTCAGATTTTTTTTTGGCTAACGTTAAAGAAGTGTGTGTCTTTGTGTTTGCCCCATCCCCTGAAGTCCCAGAAACATTGAAGTTATTGTGGGGGTGCTTGTGAGTTACCACCATCTTTTCCGCTTTTGGATAAACAAAGCACTTCCCTTTACTGTGAGGCTTGGTTGAGATGCAGATGTGACCCAGCAGCCAAGCAGCTGCTGTTTCATACCTCTGTTGGAGGGCCATGGGACATTTTTCTCTTTTAAGTAGAGTGTTTTAACTTGCTGACACACTTGTATAATTCATGTGTGGGTCACTGACAGACTGGGAGCCTGTACCAGGATGACAGGGGACCTAATGGAGGGTGACTGCACGTCATGGATTCTGCTCTAATATTTACTGATTTGCCCCCTTTCACTCTCAGATTGTCTTATTTTGTAGGATAAGTAACATGGTCACCTTTTCTAAAACACTTGGAGAAAATAATGACTTTGTTTCCAGAGATAGAAAGGGAAATAGACCTGTCACGTCCTGTGGCTCTAACAGGACCAAAGGATCCGCATCATCTGCTTGAGCAGCCTTAAGTTCCATAAGGTCGCTGTGGGCACTGCCCAGAATAGCTGACTGGACATTCAAAGGGGGAATAATGAAGTGTCCGACATAGGCCTTTAAGAAGCCTTTTTGGGGGCTTTAAATGACCATACTTGTTAAAGGCCAGGTTAGGAGTCTAGAAGTCACTCATCAGAAAATGAAACTAAGAGCTTCAGGACTTATTTGATGACAGTTCTACTCGTTGGAGCTGGAGACTAGCAGGATGAAAGCACATGCAATCATGGCTTCATATCTTGGCTCTGCCACTAATTCACTGTCTGACTCTGGAAAACTACTTAACTTCCTTAAGCCTCAAGCCTCAGTTTTCTGACTATAACATTGGCCTAATCAAAGTTTCCACCACACAGTGTTGTTACCAAGTATGAAGTAGTGCCTATGTAGTAGATAGACAGTGCTCAAAATATGTGACCTTAACACACACACACACACACACACACACACACACACACACACACACGATTTGCTTTCCTAAAACTCTCGTGTCTCACCATTTGGACATGCCTACATTCCTGGGATTTCCCAACATGCCATTGTAGAAACACTTAACTCACTTAACAGTTAACTCATTTAACAAAGATGGCGACTTTTACAAGCTTGAGACAAAGGCTGCTTTTATCCTTGCATGAGAAAGCTTTTAGCACACTGGACTGTAAAGAATGCCCAAATGAACTGTGGTAACAGCTGACATTCCCAAGGTAATAAAAATACCTTCAGGCTCTTTCTGAGTTAGTAGAAGAATACAGTAGTTTCTAAGCAGAAACGTCTGGAGGGCCAAGGTTTGGATTCCTGCATCCCTGTTTGGTGAAAGGCAGCTGGCATCACCGTATCACGGTTGCAGCTATTGAGTGCTCGTTATGGACAGACATTGCCCCAAACCCTTTCAGAGCATTCCTCTTTGGTGAACTTCAAATCAGCCCTCCGATGTAGTGTTCTACAATCTCCCACTTTATGGATGACACAGGATAGGGTTAACATGCTCCAGGTCTCTGGGCCTTGGTTCATACTGGGGTTTGAACAGCCCCAGGCCTGTGTTCTTAAGCACCCCGATGTTGTGTCATCTGCCTGCCAGCATGGAACATGTTTCTTTGCCATGAGTCATTTTCAGTCCTGAGAAACAATTTCTACTGTGATGTTACTGATACCGGATACATGGAATATTGGTGGGTCATCTGGTACCCTGTCATGTTCTCTTCCAGATTGAATGCCCAGTGAGTTCCACTTAGGACGACTTTTTATTTATCTACTTATTTTCGGTACCTAGTGATTCAGAGAGTATCTAAATTCTTTTGAGTTAAAAGACTTGACTTTAAAATAAGTTCGTCCTTTAAAATAATTTCTCGATTGTAAGCATGTTTAGAAACTATAATCCTTCTAGGAAACTATTGAGAAGAAAGTGATATCCATACAGAACTCAATACACCAAAGATGTTAATGTCAGCATTGGTTATGATAGTGAGAAACCCAGATACATCTTCTAGTTGGGCAGTGACTGAGTAGATTATAATAACTCTATATATATTACATAGGATGGAGGTCTGTAGAATGTCACAGTGACATGAAAAATAAAGTTTATGAACAATTTTTTAACATTTCAGTTGTGATGTAATTCACATACCATACAATTCACCTATGTAAAATACGTAATTCAGTGTTTTTTAGTGTATTCTCTAACTTGTGCAACCAACATCAAAACTTTCGAAACACTTTAACGTACATTCCCTTTAAATGTCAGTTGTATAGGAAAATGGATATAAAATAGTATACACAGTATGATCTCCCAATTTTTTTATGTCAAAAAAATAAGCACTAGTAACTGATACATAGAATTAAAGGTAATTGATTCTTTTCCTTTCTTGTGCTTTCAGCATATTTTGTATTTTGCAAATTTTCTGTGATGACACCACACTACCTTCATAATGGAAGGCAATAAATTTAATTACAAACAAAAATGAAATCATTAGTTAGGAAAGTAATATCCCTTTGTTCTTTTCTCTTTCCCCTTGGTGTTTGTAGATAACTAACAGCATTTTTAAAAATGAGCTAATTAATGTTTTACTTCCCTCTCTGCCTTTTACTTGAGTGATTCTGAAGCTTGTGCCCCACCTTAACCCCATCCCCACCTCTAACCCTTTATTGGGAACACAGTGCTGAGTAATTGCTGCTTCCTTGACATCAAAGACAACAAAGGGGAAACCTCAAAAGAAGGCGACATTCTGGGCCTCCTGTCCCTAATGGGTAGCCCACGTGTGTGCATTTCCACGTGTGGAGCGTGCCGAGCGTTACCTGCTCAGGTTGACGTACCACTGACTCCCTATTGTCCAGGGCGCTTGGCAAAAAGAGCTGGGAGCGAGTCAGCTGGGGTGCAGGGTGAATCAGTTGCTGTTAAACGCAAGGATGCGAAGCAGAGAATTAGCAGGAGGGGCAGAACCTGGTGAGCTTTATGGGCTGGTACTGCCTACACTGGTCAGAAGGTCCTGAAGCAGCTTTTTATCCATCCTTTCCCTTTAGCCCTTACCGTCTCTCACCTGGGCTCTTACGGCATCTCACCTTTAATGGGCTCCTCCAGGGCTGATTCTCCTTCTGGCTTAATCTCCAGGCTTTTTAGTGCCCCAAACCGAGCCTTTGCCTCTGGTAGGAGTGTGCAGCCCCCTTCCAGTGGACGTGTTAGCCCACCGCCACCGACCGGGCAGTTCCCACCTACCTCTCGGCCTGAGCCCGTACACAGCCTCCTCCCCAAGCTCCCTGAGGAGGCGGAGGAATCCGTCATTCCTTGGTCTGTGTCTCATAGCACTTTGCACGCTCATTTATAGCTCTTGTCACGTGATGTAGTCACTCATGTATGGACTTGTCTCTCCCACCAGAATGTGAGCTTGTTGGGGGCAAAGACTTTATTTCATTGGTCATATTTAATCTTATTTATATAGCCCCTGGGACTGTGTGAGAAGGTAAACATTTAACCCAAATAGTCAAAACATGCACAGATATCAGGTCACATTTAACCCAAATAGTCAAAACATGCACAGACACCAGGTCACACAGGTGAGTGCAGAGGGGGGACATATGGCTGGCAAGATGAAGTAGCAGAGGACAGTCCTCGGCTCTGGATAGTATCCAGAGAGGGGAATAGTCCCCTAGGAAGTTTTGATCCTTTTTCGCAAAGTGAGTTTAGCTCACATTCAAATCTGTTTTGTAGTTGGAAGGGATCTCAGTATTTCTTGAGTATGTTACCTCAGCCAGATCTATGATCGTTTTGTGTGTGCTCTGGTTTGAGGTAGACAACGCAATTACATACCTTAATTTATGTCTAGTTAGAAACTGAATAAAACTGTGCAAAAGTAGTAATACTGCTTAATTAACGAGATTTCTGAAGCTTAAATCTGTCGGAGTCTCTTGGTCTAGATTGGCCTTTGGTTAAATATATACTGTGGTTGGTATACAACACAGCTGTGAATGGTTTACCATATGGGTCCAAATAACTAGAAAGGAAAGTCAGCTAAATGAGAAAAGGATGAATCCAGACTACATAAAATAGATTGTAATTAGAAGCAGCACAACCCCAGAGTTAGCACAAGTGCCAATAGACTGGCACAGCTTTGCTCTCTCTCTGGCGGTGGGGGGAGAGGGTAGTGAGTTGCCCTTTTATTGCCAGCTTTGATTTTAGCAGTATTTATGCTCTCCGGAAAGGATGCAAAAGCGAGGGTTTTTTTGGTTTTCTTTACTCCCTTCTCATAAGCACAAGTATAGAAGCATAATGCAGCAAGTTTTTGCACTTAATTTTTTCTTCTACTTTTAAAATG